ATAGCCATTCTACTGGGTGTGAAATGGTATTTCATTGTGGCTCTGATTTGCATTTCTTTAATGACTGATGATATGAGTATCTTTTTATGAGCTTATTGTCCATTTGTATTGTACATTTCTCTTTGGAGAAATGTCTGCTCAAGTTTTTTGCCTACTTTTAAATCGCATTGTGTCTCTTTTTGTGGTTGAGTTCTAGGAGTTCTTTTTATGTTCTTGATTCTAGACTCTTTTTTTTTTTTTTGCAGTAGGCAGGCCTCTCACTGTTGTGGCCTCTCCCGTTGCGGAGCACAGGCTCCGGACGCGCAGGCTCAGCGGCCATGGCTCACGGGCCCAGCCACTCCGCGGCATGTGGGATCTTCCCGGACTGGGGCACGAACTCGTGTCCCCTGCATCAGCCGGCGGACTCTCAACCACTGCGCCACGAGGGAAGCCCCTCTAGACTCTTTTTTTTTATTTTAAAAACGTTTTTTGGCCGTGCCACTCTGGCATGTGGGATCTTAGTTCCCCAACCAGGGATTGAACCTGTGCCCCCTTCAGTGGAAGCATGGAGTCTTAACCACTGAACTGCCAGGGAAGTCCCCTCAATTCTAGACTCTTATCAGATAAATGATTTGCAAATATTTTCTACCATTCTGAGGGTTGTCTTTTCACTCTCTTGATAGTGTCCTTTGATGCACAAATGTTTTATCTTCCAGTTTGCTAATTCTCTCTTCATCTGTGTCTAATCTGTTTTTTCAGTCTACCTATTGAGTTTTCATTTTCATAATTCATTGCTGAAATTCTAAACTTTTACTTTCTTTAAATAAAACATGTTGGGCTTCCCTGGTGGCACAGTGGTTGAGTGCACCTGCCGATGCAGGGGACACGGGTTTGTGCCCCAGTCTGGGAGGATCCCACATGCCGCAGAGCGGCTGGGTCATGGCCACTGAGCCTGCGCGTCCAGAGCCTGTGTTCCGCAACGGGAGAGGCCACAGCAGTGAGAAGCCCGTGTACCGCAAAAAAAAAAAAAAAAAATTAAGCATTAAGCATGTTAATTTTTTTCTCTTTACATAACATGACACACAATTTTAATACAGCATTTGGTCAGTATTTCTCAATAGAAACTCTCAGCACTTTTGACTCAGTAATTGACTGTGTCTAGGAGCCATGATGTATATAAGGTCTCCAGAACTTATTCATCTAATAACTGAAAGTTTTTACCCTTTGACCAACATCTCTTTTTGCCACAACCATTTTCCTCTCTACTACTATGATTTTGACCTTATTTTTTAGATTCCACATATAAGTGAGATTACATAGACATTATTTCTTTCTGTGTCTGGTGGCTTATTTCACTTAGCATAATGTCCTCCAGGTTCATCCCTGTTGTTGCAAGTGGAAGGAGTTCCTTCTTTTTTAAGGCTGAATAATATTCCTCAGAGAGAGAGGCAGAGAGAGGGAAAGAGAGAGAGAGAGAGAGAGTGTGTGTGTGTGTGTGTGTGCGCGCGTGTGTGTGTGTGTTTGTAAAATCACATTTTCTTCATCTATCTACCCATTGACAGACACTGAAATTGTTTCTATATTGTGGCTACTTTGAATAATGCTGCAGTGAACATGGGAGTGCAAGTATCTCTTTGAAATAGTAATTTTATTTCCTTTTGATATATACTCAGAAGTAGGTTTGCTGGTTCATATGGTAGTTCTAGTTTTAATTTTTTGAGGAATCTCCATACTGTTTTTTGTAATGGTTGTACCAATTTACATTCCTACCAACAGTGTACAGGGGTTCCTTTTTCTCTACATCATTGCCAATACTTATTATCTTTTGACTTTTTGGTAATAGCTGTCCTAACAGGTGTGAGGTGGTATCTCATTGTGATTTTGATTTTTGTGATTGATGATTGTTGATGTTGAGTACATTTTCGTGTGCCTGTTGGCCATTCGTATGTCTTCTTTGGAAAATATTTATTCAGGTCCTTTGCCCATTTAAAAAAAAATTATTTATTTATTTTTAATTATTTTTTTGGCTCTGTTGGGTCTTCGTTGCTGTGCGTGGGCTTTCTCTAGTTGCGGTGAGTGGAGGCTACTCTTTGTAGTGGGGCGTGGGCTTCTCATTGCAGTGGTTTCTCTTGTTGAGGAGCACCGTCTCTAGGCATGCAGGCTTCAGTAGTTCTGGCTCACAGGCTCTAGAGTGCAGGCTCAGTGGTTGTGGCGCATGGGCTTTGCTGCTCCGCGGCATGTGGGATCTCATGGACCAGGGCTCGAACCCATGTCCCCTGCGTTGGCAGGCAGATTCTTAACCACTGCGCCACCAGGGAAGTCCTGCCCATTTTTTAATTAGGTTTTTTTGTTTGTTTTATTTTGCTATTGAGTATGAATTCTTTACATATTTTTAGTATTAACCCCTTATCAGATACATGGTTTGCAAACATTTTCTCCCATTCTGTAGGTTACCTTTCATTTTGTTGATGGTTTCCTTTGCTGTGCAGAAACTTTTTAGTTTGATATAGTCTCACTTGTTTTACTTTTGTTTTTGTTGCTTGGGCTTTTGATGTCAAATCCAAAAAAATCATTTTCAAGATGAATTTCATGGACTTTTCCCTCTGTGTTTTCTTCTAAGAGCTTTATGGTTTCAGGTCTTAGGTTTAAGTTTTAACCCATTTTCAGTTGATTTTTGTGTATGGTGTAGGATAAGGATCCAGTTTCATTCTTTTGCATGTGGTTATTCAGTTTTTCCAATGCTATTTATTGAAGAGACTATCCTTTCCCCATTGTATATTCTTGGTGCCTTTGTCAAAGATTAGTTGACCGTGTATATGCATGGGTTTATTTCTAGGTTCTCTATTCTGTTCCATTGATCTATGTGTCTGTTTTGGTGCTAGTACCAAATTGTCTTCCTACTGCTTTGTAATATAACTTAAAATTAGGAAGTGTTATGCCTCCAGTTTTGTTCTTCTTGCTCAAGATTACTTGATTACGTTAGCTATTCAGAGTCTTTTGTGGATCCATGCAAATTTTAGAGTTGCTTTTTCTATTTCTGTGAAAAAATGCCATTGGAATTTTGATAGTGATTACATTGGATCTGTAGATTACTTTGGGTAGTATGGACATTTTAACAATATTAATTCTTACAGTCCATGAATACAGGATATCTTTCCATTTATTTGTGTCTTCAGTTTCTTCATCAGTGTCTTATAGTTCTCAATGTACAGATCTTTCACCTCCTTGGTTAAATTCATTCCTAAGTATTTTAATCTGTTTGGTGTTAAGCATACTAGTTTTAATTCTGTGTCTTATTGTTCCATAGTCTGTATTCCCTCTAAGACTATTTATTTTGCATGATCTTTCTGATTTGCTTTTTTCATGTTCTCTCTTTGTTATTGTTAGTTAAGGACCAGATATTGTATATGAAAATTGTGGAAGTATTTTGAGATCTGTGATGATGTTATCTTCTTCTAAGAAGATTTATGTTTGTTTTTGGCAGGGACTAGCAATCCAAGATTGCCTTAATTAAATTTTGTGGTAGACATTTGGAGCTGAGCTTCAGTCCTGTAAAGGCCAGTCTAGTTTTTTTTTTTTTTTTGCGGTACGCGGGCCTCTCACTGCTGTGGCCTTTCACATTGCGGAGCACAGGCTCCGGACACGCAGGCTCAGCGGCCATGGCTCACGGGCCCAGCTGCTCCGCAGCATGTGGGATCTTCCTGGACCGGGGCACAAACCCGTGTCCCCTGCATCGGCAGGAGGACTGTCAACCACTGCGCCACCAGGGAAGCCCTGTTTTTTTTTTTAATAACATTATTTTTGGCTGCATTGGGTCTTTCTTGCCGCATGTGGGCTTTCTCTAGTTGCAGAGAGCAGGGGCTACTCTTTGTTGTGGTGCGCAGGCTTCTCATTGCGGTGGCTTCTCTTGTTGTGGAACATAGGCTCTAGGGTGTGTGGGCTTCAGTAGTTGTGGCATGCAGGCTCCATAGTTGTGGCATGTGGGCTCTAGAGCACAGACTCAGTAGTTGTGGCACATGGGCTTAGTTGCTCCACGGCATCTGGGATCTTCCTGGACCAGGGCTCGAACCCGTGTTCCCTGCATTGGCAGGCAGATTCTTAACCACTGTGCCACCAGGGAAGTCCCTAGTTTGGGTTTATACACACTCCTAGAATGTAGCCCTTATGGGGTTACAAACAAAAGTGTTGGAGTTACACCAGCTCCCCCTTCGCAACTTGGTTCTCCAGCCATTCCAGTACTTATCTTTCCAGCTCTGTAAAACTGTCAATGGCTTCTTAGCCTTTCAGATGCCACAAAGTAAAAAGTGGCCCCAAATACCAGGTCTCAGTCTCCTTGTAATTCATCATGCTATTAACTCTCCAGTGCCTTCAGGAAGATTTTTTAAATGTATATAGTTGTAGTTTTCTTAGGGAAAGGTTGGTCTGAAGTATGTAATCTGCCATTGCCAGAAGTAGAAGTCAACAGTATGTAAGTGGAAGTAAACAGCATATCATTTACTCTTTTTTTAAATGTTTGAGCAGATTCAAAAATCACCATATAATGTTAGTCTTACCCATTTATATTTTCAGGTACTTTCTTGGAGAAAGAGAATAAGAAATAGAGTCACAGTGATCCTACTAGGAATTACACAGATTGGATTGTCAAGCAGGGGAATATCTTCTTTCATGTTTGTCTTCTCAGGGACAATTGAAGACCATTGCTGTAATCGTAACACTTGTTGCATTGTACTGTAATTACTTTTTATATGACTATGTTGTTAATGAGACAGTGAGCCGCTTACGAGGAGGAATCCTGTCTTACTTGTGTTCAGTTTCCAGGTGCTGGACCTGAAGTTAAGTACCCATTTATGTAGAAATGAATCTTTGTGTTGGGAATTCCTTATTTTCTTTTCACAGTGAAAAATGAATATCAGTGTACACTGTGCTGAGTCATCCAAAAAGATAAATTTTAATAGAGAAGAATTTTAGTAGAAGAATAGTTTCTCACCAGCTCTTTTCTCCCATTCTCTTCTATGTAACAGGTGGCATCTCCACAGAAAGCGACTGTGCTTTTGAGCCAGACTACGCTGTCCCACCACTTCCAGTGAGTGAAGGTATGCAGCACATTCGGATTATGGAGGGCATGTCTCGCTCTCTTCCATCCTCCCCCTTACTCACACATCAGTCTATCAGTGTTCGGCTCCAACCTGTGAAGAAGTTAACTGGTAAGGACTTTACCTAAATTTAGTATATTTAACAGGAAACCTAATAGTGTGGCACTCTAGGTCATATCAGATATGTTTATGTGCAGCTCTAGGTTTTTCCTCTTTGGCCTTACTAATGTCACAGACTCTTAGAAAGTGGAGCTCCTACTGATTTTAGTTTAGGGAATTAAAATAGTGCTCCATTTGACAGATTGTTGTATTTATTTCCTAAATGATCCATCTGTTGTAGACATATTTTTCTAGGCTTTCAGGAAATTTTCAGTTTTGCCAGAATATACTGTTGTTCTGATTGCATTTATCAGCTTGTTCATGTCAGATTACCAAATGGAGATATTGTAATTTTAGAATAATAAACGCTTCATAGTTTAGCAGAGGTACATCAGTTTGAAATCCTGATTTGTATATTTCATACCTATTTTTAAAAGCTGATCTAGATATTTACCTCTCCATGGTACAGTACTCCAACTTGTTAGGATATTTACTATAATTCGTTGTGGATTGACTTTAATATGATCTCACAGTATGTATTGTGCAGTCAGGTCAAGTTGTTAAGGTATGAAACTGTGTCTTGATTAAATGAACTTTTATCCCTTAAAGCTTTTTCAGGGAAGAAATTTTAATATATTAAATGATACTTATGTGCGAAAATATGTACACCTGGATCACTTTGTCAGGTTTCTTTTAACATTATTAGTTTATATCAACATCAGTAAGTTGACTGGTGTTGAATGGATTATGAATGTATGGAGGCAAGAAATGAAGTCATTCCCAAAGGCTATATTGACTTCCTCCTATGTGTCTGGCATTGAGTTAGACAGTAGTGTTGATTATCGAATGACAATTCAAAAGAAAATAAGATGATAGACGGGGAAATGAGATTTTTCGGTCTTCCATCTATTTTGAATGAAACTTTTACAATGTTTATAATTTTCATTAAAATAATAGTATTTCTTTATTCTGTAGTTCCACAGAGCATAACTTATGCTTCTTTACAACCTGTACAAAGCATAAGTTATGCCTCTTATATTTTTTATTGATTTTTTTAGGCATCTTCAAATGACTGAGTCAAAGTCTACTTTGATTCTTGGGTCGTTAGGTAAAAATCGGTAAAGTAGCTTAATAACATTTTACTAAAATATTTATTCCTTCTATTATCTAAAAACAGGGTAAGTTTTATGTGTTTGGGCTTGAATAAAAATTTCAATGCTTAGAAATCCCTGCTTTTCTTACAGTTTAAGGAATTATTGATTACTGAAAATACAAATAATCAAATCTGATGGCTGTCAAGTGATGTGCTTCATTTTACTACACATACTGGAAGAAATAGTAAGAAAAATTCAGTTTCCTTATAGAAGTTAGCTGAATTGCCTGAGGTTTTAGAGATAGCACTTTCCTACCCCATTAGCCTATCCCAGTTTGAACTTTAACTTAAATAGACAACCTTTAGATGACCTAAAAGATAAATCCATATACTAACAAAGTCAACAAGATGCCTGATATCACAGAGATAGTACAGGGAAGCAGTAATAGGAAGAACACTTGGTTAATTACAGGTATGAACTATTCAGTTTTAATTTTACAGTGCTCGAAGCGTAAGCATCCTCTCAAATAATTTTATTTACTGAAGAGGTTGTCAGAGGCCTAAGAATTTGAAGTTTGAGAATGCATTTTTAAATATCTGAATGAAAGAAATCTGTCTCCTGAAAGAGGATGCCATGAAAATTTTTCTGTGGCCAATTTTCTGCCAAGTGAATTAGATGATAAGAATTTTCTGGCTTAACCTGGAATTAAGTTACTTTGAAATTTAAATTAAAAATATTATTTAGGGGCTTCCCTGGTGGCGCAGTGGTTGAGAGTCCGCCTGCCGATGCAGGGGACATGGATTTGTGCCCCGGTCTGGGAAGGTCCCACGTGCCGCGGAGCGGCTAGGCCCGTGAGCCATGGCCGCTGAGCCTGCGCATCCAGAGCCTGTGCTCTGCAACGGGAGAGACCACACAGTGAGAGGCCCGCGTACTGCAAAAAAAAAAAAATATATATATATATATATATATTATTTAGTAGATTATTCATCAGTTATCTTTCCTTTCCTAATTATATTTTGTTATAAATAAGTAAAAAGAACTTTGTATGTGAAAAGATTAACTGACCTTACGGAAATGTCCTTCAGAGAATGGTTCTTAACAAAATACATTAATTTAATATGGCCATTAGGGCTACACTTCCTAATTTATGCATTTCCATTCATTTAAACTTCCAACGTTATCTTTCTTGTATTCATATTACAGCCAAACTGAATAAGTAGGGCCAGAATAGTTATTTTCTTCTGTTTTCTTTCTGACTTTCTAATATTTAGTCCCCTGTCTCTGCTATGGTCAGGGTAGTTTGCTCATTATTCTGTGCTTTTTACTTAATCATTAAACAAATATTTGTTTAGGACCTACTATATGCCAGGCACTGCTCTAGATACAGTAAATAGAGTTGAGTCTCCTGCCTTCAAGGTATTTATATTCCATTTGGGAGGGAGACTGATAATAAACATATAACCAATAAATAAATAATTTTAGATAGTAACTAGTACTGTGAAGGTGATAAAGTAGGAAAAGGGATAGAGAAAGACTGGGGTAGAGGTAGATTCTTTCTATGAAGTGATCAGGGAGAGTCAGAGAAGGAGGTATTTGAACTGAGGTCTGAATAACAAAAAGAAGCCAGCCATGGGAAGATCTGGGATCAGAGCCTTCCAGGCACAGGGAACAGCGGGAACAAAAGTCCTAAAGCAGAAAGCAGCTTTGGCATGTTCAAGGATTAGAAAGAAGGGAGGTGTGTTGTCAGCAAAATAAGTCAGAGGGGAGGGGAGTATGAAATAATTGAAGAGGTAGGCAGAAGCCAGAGTTTTTAGAATCATGGTAAGGAACCTACTCTGTAGGATTTTAAGCAGAGCTGGAATGGGATGTAATATGGTCTGATTTAGCTTTTAATCAGATCTTGGTGGCAAATGTGCTAAGAGTAGAGTATGGGGGTCTGGAGTATCCCATTAACCTTGGGTGTGTTTTTCCTGATCTTTAATAGATCTTTAACTTCTAACAAGTTAGTAGAGGTTGAAAAGACAGTTAATCTTTTTTTTTGTTTTATCTCATAAAACATAATGGAGCAACCTTTTCCTATTATTATATAAACTTTGTACTCTCAACATATTTGTCTTATACACAGAGGTGTATATGAAGATCCATTTCCAAATACTTTGACTTCTCTTTAGTCTCGAGGGAGTGAGAATGGGGAAAGGTTTGCTCAAGAATAAAGACATGTAATTTGAAGCTGGGAAACTAATTTTATATATATATATTAAATATGTATATTTAGAATATATATAGCTCTATCCTGTACAAAAACAAGTTACCGTAAAAGTGATCAAGAGAAAAACAGGCTCTGTGGTCATACTGCTTGAGTTTGTATCCCAGCTCTGAGAAAGTCACTTTACTACTGCCTGCTTCTGTTTCTTCATCTGCAAAATGGGGTTAACAATACCTCCTACCTCATGGATAAGTCAGGTCTATAACCCATTGATGGTTATCACATTGCTTAGTACTTGACTAAAACTGTGTTTGGCAAATAATAAATGCTCAGAATGTGTTCGCTGTTATTGTTAACAAAATTGTTAAATTTGGTGAGAAGTTTTTAAAAATTTCTTTTAGCATTAGACACCAATTCGGAACTTTAAAACTTTGCACGTTTTAAAAATTATACTTTTTAATGAGTAATAGTAATAATGATAATAATTCTCATTTGAGTGCCTGTTGTGTTGACATATACATGTAAACTCACGTATTCTTCACATGTATCTCAATTTTACACTTGAATAAATTAAATCTTAGAGAGGTAAAATGTCTTGCTCAAAATGATACAACTAGGAAACGGTCAGAGCCAAGATTAATACCTAGGCCTTTAAACCCTAAATGTATCTCATTTTACCAATGAAAAAATTGAGGTTTAGAGAACTTAACCAACTCACCCAAGGCATCTGGTATATCGCTTAAGACTTTTTTGTTAAAAAAAAGTAACATAGCGAAATGGTTTAAGCCAATATAGGGAAACTAGAAGACCTAGAGGTTAGTCAAGCCTCAAGGTTCACTTGCTCAGTGTATGTTGCTCTGGGGAGGCGTGGAAGAGAGTATGCAGAGACACACCGTTGCCCCCAGTAACTGTGGTCATGGGATTGCCCTGTTCTCTGGATTCTTATTCAGTTACCTTTTCCAGATGCTTTTGTTCATAATATCATAAAGCCCCTCAGCATACTTCTTAAAATATAGATAATTGGGAGTGCCAGTAGTTCATTCATTCAACACTTAATGAATTTACACTGTCTGCCTACTATGTACACTGTAGGTTTAGTAAAAGCTAAATTTTGAGTATTCATACTGTTAGTAGGGCTGTAAATTGGTACACCCTTTTTTTATTAAAGTTTTTAAAAATTTATTTGTTTATTTATGGCTGCGTTGGGTTGCTGTGCACGGGCTTTCTCCAGTTGTGCCGAGCGGGGTCTATGATTTGTTGCAGTGCGTGGGCTTCTCATTGCGGTGGCTTCTCTTGTTGTGGAGCACGGGCTCTAGGCATGTGGGCTTCAGTAGTTGTGGCGTGCGGGCTTCAGTAGTTGTGGCTTGCAGGCTCTAGAGCGCAGGCTCAGTAGTTGTGGCCACGGGCTTAGTTGCTCTACGGCATGTGGGATCTTTCCGGACCAGGGATCGAACCCGTGTCCCCTGCATTGGTAGGTGGATTCTTAACCACTGCGCTACCAGGGAAGTTCCATTACACCCTTTTTGTAGAACAGTTTGAAGTATGTATCAAAACTGTAATGCACATAATCTTTGACACAACAATTTTATTGCTAAGATTGT